AAAAAAAAAAAACCAAAACACTATCACTGCTTTTAGTCCGGAATATGCATTTGTCTGAAATTTTCCATCTGTAATCTTGTTCTTGGAGGATGTTTTCCCTGAGTGTAGGAGTCTGTTGGGAAGTAATTTTCTTTGACCATCTTGAAGATCTTGAAGTTATCTTTCCAGTGCCTTTTTGTTTGTTTGTTTTTTGTTTTTGTGTTTTTTAAAGTCACCTGTCGGATTGTAGCTTTTAAGATACTTGGGTTTTGGTCTTTGCTTGAGCAATTTTGTGCTGACGTTTCTGGATGTGGTTTTCTTTCTGTTTGCCTGCTTTCCCCAAGGCCTCTTGGATCTTTCAGCCCACGCCTCTGGCCACTTCAGCCACTTTCTCTCCGTGAACCGTCTCTGCCCGATTTCCTGTCCTTTCTCTTTGGGAGACTTGAAATCTGCGTAGTTAAACCTTTTCACTGTACTCGCAGCATCTCCTGCCCTCCGCTCTCTATTTCCCGGAGACACCGTCTCCTCGTTTTACTTGGAAGCTGTGTTTCTGAGTCATCTGCGGACCTCTCTTTGCCCGTTGAGTTATTTCTGGGTGAGAGAAGTTTTGGTCCCGCAACGTCACCTGGTTCCTTTGTGCACCGTCCGGTTTTCTGACAAAGTTCTTAATTTTGTGTTTTACCCCTTCGAGGATAATGATGTCAAAAGTCTGTGTCTGATGATCCACTAACAGGCGCCCTGTGGGTCTGTGCACCTCGTCTGCTGTTCTTTGTTCGCCTGGTTATTTTTGGTGGAGTCCTGGGCTTTGTACGTAAAAGCTAGTAGCAGTAATTCCAATCCTAGGAGAGTGTTTTCTTCTTATTTTTTAAAGTTCATTTACTGGGGCACCTGGGTGGCTCAGTTAGATGTCTGACTTGGGCTCGGGTCATGATCTCGCAGTTCATCGGTTCCAGGCCCGTGTTGGGCTCTGTGCTGACAGCTCGGAGCCTGGAGACTGCTTTGGATTCTGTGTCTCCTTCTCTCTCTTCCCCTCCCCTGCTGGTGCTCTGTCTCTCTCTCTCTCTCTCTCTTTCAAAATTAAACATTAAAAAAATTACCACCCTTCATCTTTAAAAACAAAACAAAAACAAGTCTATTTACTTATTGCGAGAGAGACAGGGACAAAGCAAGTGGGGGAGGGGCAAAGAGAGAGGGAGAGACAGAATCCCAAGCAGGCTCCATGCTGTCAGCACAGAGCCCAAGGCGAGGCTCGAACCCACAAGGAAGCCGTGAGATCATGACCTGAGCTGAAACCAAGATCGGACACTCAACCGACTGAGCCACCCAGGCGCCTCAGTATTTTCTTTTTTAAAAGATGATTTGTAAACGTTGCTGACAGATGGCAGGGGTTGGGGGAGCAGCTGGCTCCCTCCCTGGGTGTCCTTCTCCTGGGTCTTCTTCCCTGCCCGTGTAGCTTTATGGTGTCTTTAAGCAGATTAAACGCATGTTTTGTCCAGCTTTCCGGACAGTTCCCAGCAGGAGTGTTGAGAGCACCACGTCATTTCTCAGTGGTTTGAAATGGCACCTTTGCCAAGGACAGCCTCGCGGCCCACTGCTGTGGCTGGCAATGCCCCTTTCTCGTCTCTCACTTATGCCTGGGCCCCTGCCTGCCTGTGAGCAGGGAGCCTGGGGTCTCCCCCTCCTGGAACAGCCCAGGGACTTTCTTATCCAGTGAGGGGAGTGCTCCCGGGGAGTGCCAGCGGGGCTCTGCCTGCACTGACCCACCGCAGCTCCGTCCTCCCCCTGCCCCCCCCCCCCCCAGCTCATAGCTGTGCCCTGTCCTCAGCGGGGCCACACCCCTGCATACATCCGGCCCGTGTGCGTTTGCCTGTAGACTTGGGCCCTCGCTCTGCCAGCCCGGACACAGTGTGGCCACCAGCACTCCCCTGAGGGGCTCACCTTGCTTGGGTAGAGGAGAGCACAAGAGAAATCAGATGCACGGGATTTGGTTAATTTGGTTAATTTGGTTAATTTCTGCTTTTCTTTCTTAGGTCTAGGTGTTAGCGACGGATCCAGTGACCTATTCCACCAAATTAATGGCTGCAAACCAGCCAAATATAGGTGCACATAACAGTCACCTGGGGGCTTGTCAGGTCCCATTGCTGGTGGCAGAATGGCACCCAGAGGTCTGGGGCGGGGCCCAGGAATGCACATTTCTACCAAGCTCCCCCTACCACTGAGGTCCCTTGGTCTTGGTGAACCACTGGCAAGATCGATACTTTTTCTTAAGAAATAAAAACACTTGAGTATTTGCCAAGGATGTTGTTCCATTTGTAAGTTTATTGGGCATTATTGCTGTTGGATATTATAGCTCAGATACTTTTTTTTTTTTTTTTTTTTTTTAAGAAACAAAGGAAGACCTTGAGGATCTGAACAAAGAAATCAAGAAAACTGCCAGTAAAATCCGAGCCAAGTTGAAGTGTGAGTTTAAGGCTTTGGCTGCGTTTGATCCTTCATGGCGGCACGTGGCTTGTCTTTATTTCCTTTATCACTTTCTGTTCTTCCACATTTCTAAACGTCCACACGATGGGCACTTTAAATTATTTGTGTGTATTTGGAACAGCAAGTCTGTAAATTATTCATGAGTCGAGAATTCTTTAACTGCCGGCTGGGAGGACCGAGGACCAGGGGCTCAAGCTAATGGTTGTTAATTGGCATATTGAGGACCGAAGCACGAATATTCAACAAGGTCAAGCATTTGCTGATAAAGGGTTGACCTCTTAAAGAGGCGTGTCTGTAGGACGCTTGTGGCCAAATTGCAGACACGTGAGAAGGCAAACAGTCCTTCCCACGAATCACGAATCACGGGTTCTTCTTCAATCCTTTACGTTTAGGTTCTGTTGAACGCTAAGTGCGTGGGGTTTAGCCTCTGTGGAGCTGGAGGTTCAGCTCTAACAGGTGGTTTTTGGGAGGGGCCTGTTGGAAAGACACATTGTATTTAATTGTTACAAAAGAGCGTTCACATCCAGGAAATCTCTGCAGATGGGAAAAAACTGTTTTGGGGACATTTCAGACAGGTGGGAGCTGGGGGGGGGGTGACCGCCAGCTGCCACCGTTCACACCCTTCATCTGTGCGCCATGCAGGGGCTCAGGGGCTCCCACCTGCCAGGTGGCTCAAAGCCCGTCCAGACGGTGGTTTCATCAGTGTGGATTCCAGGGTACTCGAAAACAGAAGGATTTTGGCCCAAAAGTACAACCACAGTGCCGTGATTATATCTAGGTCAGATCATTGTGGTTATTGGTCACGAAATACCCCATGGGAATGCACGTGTCCCCAGTGATCTTTGAATTTCTTTTCACAGTGTGTTTGAATTGGGTTCCCAATAAGGACCCTACCCTGTGATTGGTGACGTGTCACTTCAAGTTTTAAAATTTTTTTTTTTTACATTTATTCATTTTTGAGAGACAGAGAGAGAGACAGAGACAAGCAAGGGAGGGACAGAGAGAGAGGGAGACACAGAATCCGAAGCAGGCTCCAGGCTCTGAGCTGTCAGCACACAGCCCGACACGGGACCCAAACCCACGAGCCACGGGATCATGACCTGAGCTGAAGTCGGACGCTCAACCGACTGAGCCACCCAGGCGCCCCAAGTTTTTAAAACTCAAATTCTCTTTGCATCTTCCCCTGGAAGTTTTCTCTTGGTTGGAGAAACCAGGGCATTCGTGCATCAGAATTTGCTACGCTTCAGGGCTTTAAAGCCGATGTCACCCAGGTTCCTCTCTCTTTCCTGTCGGTTGATAGTTGACTTCTCCAAACCCCATGAGAGTCGGGCGTTTTGTTTTGTCTTTTTTCTTTGAAATGTTAAGATCTAACACCTGGTTTTGTTTTGTGAGATTATCAACAATGGATGATTGTTGCCAAGATGCATACATTTATGAGGAATCGAAAAGATAAGAAAGAAAAGTAGTTTGAGGTTTGGCTTGAGAAACATCCATTGTTTAGTTTAAAAGGTGACTCTTTTCCTGTTCATTTCCAGCTATCGAGCAGAGTTTTGATCAGGATGAGAGTGGGGACCGCACCTCAGTGGATCTCCGGATACGACGAACTCAGGTTTGGTCGTCGGCCTGGTGACCACAGGCCTCTTGTCTCCCTTTCAGATTCAGAATAGGTTGTCTTTACGTCACATGAATCCGTACAGCATCTCTGTGTAAAAGGTCGTGGTATCTTTGGGTGACCTCCTTATTATGAAGAAAAGATGCCACGCTGCGGGCCCGCGTTGTCCGAATTCCCCGAACCCTGCGGGCTTGGGGGGTGAGGGGTCTGTGGTGCCCACACCGGGGTCCAGGCTGCTCGCTTCTGCCTGACTGTGTGGGTGCCAGGCCACGTCCGCTCAGCGGGAGGTGTCCCGTCTGTGAGCTGGGGGCTGTTGGGAGAGTCAAGCCGGGTGACGCGCGTGACGTCCCGGGATGGACTCCGTCTAGAGCTGGCTGCCACCCGTTCGGGTCCAGTTGAAGGGCAGGTGTGACCGTTGTGGTTTCTGTGCCTCACTTGCTACAGAAGAAGCGAACGTTGTGTATTAATTTCGTGTTTCCGTGTTAATAGCATTCAGTACTGTCTCGGAAGTTTGTGGAGGTCATGACCGAGTACAACGAGGCCCAGACTCTGTTTCGGGAGCGGAGCAAAGGACGCATACAGCGCCAGCTGGAGATCAGTGAGTGAACGAAAATGCTCTTTTGATACAAAAGGTCCTTTTCTTAAGGTCTGACGTGAAAGTTCTGTGGCTCCAAAACAGTAGTTCGTCTCTGTTTTTGCCAATATTGCAAAGCCTGAAGCTTTTCCAGAGCTTCCTGTTCATTGAGTCACCGAAACGTTTTCTTTACGTCCCTCAGAAAATCCTTGGTGAGTGGACTTTAAATTACTTTCTGGTTTTAAAAATGTTTATTTATTTTATTTTCGAGAGAGAGCGTGCGTGCACATGCGAGCAAGGGAGAGGGAGGGGCCGGAGAGGGAGGGAAAGGATCCCAAGCAGACTCCGCGCTGTGAGCACAGAGCCCGACGCGGGGCTCGAACTCACGAACCGTGAGATCATGACTTGAGCCGTAATCGAGAGTCGGACGCTTAAAAACGGAGCCCCCCCCCCCGCCCCGGGCGGCCTCGCACTGCGTTCTAACTGGCATTGCTCCTAGGGTATTAATCAGATTTGGGAAACGTCCAGCCATCGGTTGCTCAGGTGTCTCTCCATTGCCCCCAGCCCCCCTGCCCCACCTTGGGAGACGGTTCTCTGTGGGCCTCACACTGACTGCCCTTTGCTCCAGACCGTCTTTCAAGGACGTCTGTGCGGCCGTACCCCTTGGATGATGGAGCTTGGCTGCTGCCGGGCAGAAGGCAGTTTGCTGACCGCAGGAAGGTCAGTCCGGTGTGCTCGCTGTCCGCTCCCTGTTGGAGAAGACCGGGGCTCCTCGGCCGCGACACGGCCTCACGACGGGTGCAGTGTCCCCCGGGGTCGGGGAGCCAGAACAGCTGTGAACGTGAACCTCATTAAATGGCATCTCCACAGCCTTCTTGGGATCCAGTTAACGTGCCACACGCGCGATTTCCAGAGTGGGCAGGTCCGTGGTTGTCACGTCCACACAGTCCAGTTTGGAACATCTTCGTTCCCTGGAAGGAACTGCCCCTGTCATCAGTCCTCCCCGTGCCTCTTCCCCGGAGCCCTCGAGCGCCACCAGCCTCCACAAATCTGCCCATTCCGTACGCTTCGTGTAAACGGAATCATACAATATACGGGCTTTTGGGACTGGCCTCCCTCACCTAACGTAGATTTTTCAGGGTTCGGCCATACTGACGCGGCTGGCATGTCCCCTCTTTCCCGGATGACTTGTGTGGTGCTGTGTGCGTGGACCCCGTGTGTCTGTGCCTCAGGCGGTGGCCGTGTGAATAATGCTGCCGTGAACACTGTAATCATGACGTTTCCTCATTTAACTTTTTTTATGCGTGACACAAATTGTAAAACGTAACGATTGTCAACTGAGTTTTTCCAAAAACCTGTGACTGTATTTCATAGAGAATACAAATACGTTCAACTCAAGGAAACATACATAACAACCAAAACATAGCAAGTATTAAAGCGTCTGATTCTAATGTTCAGTCTTTATTTACGATCTTCTAATAAATGCTGATAACATACATTGGTATTCTCTTTCCATAAGCCAGAATTAGACTTTTACGAAAGCCAGCGTGCCAAAAAATTACGTGTCAACGCCCTTTTTAGAGTTCTCATTCCTACTAAAATTAGATTTTTGTATTCATTCCAATTATAAGGTTTTTTATGAGAGTTTTCCAGTTTTTCCTGCTTGTTAGTCTTATGTTAATTTCTCTCATCATTAACACTCACCCAAGAAAGCATATTTGAAAGGTTAGAACAATGTTGCTTGAAAATGTTAATTGGGGCACTTGGGTGGCTCAGTCGGTTAAGCGTCCCCACTCTTCATTTTGGCTCAGGTCATGATCTCACAGTTTGTGGGATCAAGCCCCGCGTCCAACTCTATGCTAGCAGCTTGGAGCCTGCTTGGGATTTTCTCTCTCTCTCTCTCTCTCTCTCTCTCTCTCTCTTTCTCTCTCTTTCTCTCTCTCTCTGTCTCTGCCCCTTCCCCCTCAAATAAGTAAACTTAAAAAAAGGTTAACTCAGGTTTAGTTGCTAACTTCTGGTTGAAAAAGTCATTTTGAATTTTTTTTTAACGTTTATCTTTGAGAGAGAGAGACAGAGCATGAGCAGGGGAGGGGCAGAGAGAGAGGGAGACGCAGAATCGGAAGCAGGCTTCAGGCTCCCAGCTGTCGGCACAGAGCCCGACGCGGGGCTCGAACCCACGGACCGTGAGATCGTGACCTGAGCCGAAGTCGAGTGCCTAACTGACTGAGCCACCCAGGCGCCCCCGAACGGTCACTGTAAGCGTCGGCTCGTTCTGAGTGGGGCCTGTGTTCATCTCACAGCTGGAAGAACCACGACCGACGAGGAGCTGGAAGAAATGCTGGAAAGCGGGAGCCCTTCGGTCTTCACCGCAGACGTGAGTGCCTGGGGGGCTGCGGCCGCATCCCCGTGCCTGTGCTTTGTCTCCCGAGCCGCCCTGGGTTCATCGGTATTTCTCTGTTGCCTTTGTTTCCCCAAGATTATATCAGACTCGCAGATCACTAGACAAGCTCTCAATGAAATTGAGTCTCGTCACAAGGACATCATGAAGCTGGAGACCAGTATCCGGGAGCTACACGAGATGTTCACGGACATGGCCATGTTCGTCGAGACCCAGGTAACGCACACGTTCTCCCTTGTCTGGGACGGACGCCTGGTGTTGGTGAAGTGTCGGGTCCAGGTACCCGAGAAAACCGTCGTTCCGGGTCCGCTCTCCACATTTGGAAACTGAGTGCAGTATTCTCGTGAGACAGATGCTGGAAACATCTGTCTGAGGCCGTGGCTCACTCACTCGCATCATGCGTGTCCACACGACAGCCTACCTACCAGGTGGCCACGGGCGGCAGACTTTCGTCAGAGAGATTTTTAGTGAGACGTGCAGGTATCGTGCTGGAGTTTTGAGTGAAGAGGGAGCTATACAATCTTACGTGTGTTTATACACATCTGTATAGATCCGGTCGTGTGTAACACACGCACGCATGTGTACGTGCATGAACTCGGCTCCATAGGACAGTGTGCACAGAAGGAAAGAAATGTACCAACTCGGACAATAACAGTGCACCTGTGGGGATTTTAGGTTTCTTCTCTAAAACACGTGTACTTTCACATTTTTACAAGGAACGTGTATTAGAACAATAATTGGCAGAGAGGTTTTAAAAGTCTTGAGAGGAGTAGGCCCCGAGGGGCCTAGTCCATGCCACGGATAGAAGCCTCGCTCTCTGCGTGGTGTTCTTTGTCCCGTGCGCAGGCCGGGAGGGCGGGCCACCCCGGGGCTGTGAAGGTTCCCCCGCGAGACAATGGAAGCAGTGTAGGCAGTTCTTAACAAACCTGAAATCTGGTGTAAACCACGAGCCGACGTGTTCCCGTTAGGTGTGTGGATACGTTTGTTCTGGCTCCCGTGAGTCTCCATCAGGCCTTCCGTGGCAGTGGCACTAGCGAGTGAGGCCTGCACGCGGCCGCTTGCGGATTCAGGGGTCAGGTTCAGGTGACGCCTGTGCCCTGGGAGCGTCCACGTCGGACCTCTCAGCTAGATCTGTCCTCACTCGCCGGCAGGCTGGTTTCAGGTGCGCTCTGGCAGGAGCGGCCCGGGAGAAGCTTAAGCCCTGGCCGGCTTGTTTTCTGGGTTGTACGAGGACGACAGGAAACCCATCCGCGTGCGGGACTCGCTCTCCACGTGGGTCACCGACCTTTCGAAGACCACTGTTTTGGAAGACGTTTATCATCGAGGACGTGAAAACCTCAGATACCGTGCGATTGCTGGGGGAAACGAGCAACCACGGGCAGGCCCCCCCTTTCTGGTCGGGGGGGAGCCCTCGCCGAGGCCACACAAGCAGTGTGTCGTTTCTGCCAGCCGCTTCTCCGGAAGTGTTCCGAGGGGAGCGGCTAGGCCGTAAGGGCACCGCGTTGCTTTTGTAATCGTGGAAGATTTTAGCGTGCTGCAGGCGTTAATTATTATGGCTCCACGCCAAGTATGTCGCGTGAAGCTCCAGTAGAAAAATGGCCATATTCTCAGCTTTGTCTCGTTGTTTGCTTTTAGAAGTCGGTTAGGGATGCGTTATATTGACTCGCCTAATTCAAACTCTGTGTGTAGTCAAAACGCTAGTAAGCTTGAGCTGGTGAGCACGTGACTTAATTATGCGTCGTTCTCCTAACGCTGCGCCGTCACTGCTGCAGATTGTGTCTGCTGTGGACAGAGAGCCAGGTACGGTCTCCCCTCCCCGCCACCTCCCTGCGCCCGCCTCGCGCCACGGTTCCCTTCACTTGGCGAACTTAGTGTCAAACAGACCGATGTTTTAAAGAAATCACCACAAGTTCCTGTGCGCTAGAAAGGACGTCATTGTCCCTTGTGTGTGTGTGGTAACAGTAAGAGATTGGTCTCGCCTCGAGTTAGCTGCCTCTCCTTGGCTGCGCCCGCCGTCACAAGGAGTGCACGTGGAAAAGCATGTCTCAGAATGTGCTCCGTTGTGGCCCATCCCTCTCATCCCTGTTCACGCTTTTTAGAGCGTAAGTTACATTTTGATCATCACGTCGGCACATTTGTAATGTTCTCATGTTCTCGTAAACGTGAAAAACGTTCGGTGTCCGTCATGTGCACGTTGCGTTCACGTGAAGATGTCGTTGGTGCTGTGGCGGCCTTGGGGGTACGCGCTCAAGTCGTGGGAGAATGTCCTCTAAGCTTGAAACTTTTTGTTTCTAGGGCGAAATGATCAACAACATAGAAAAAAACGTTATGAACGCCACAGACTATGTAGAACACGCTAAAGAAGAAACGAAAAAGGCGATTAAATATCACAGCAAAGCTAGAAGGGTGAGTTTGGTTTTTAAGACTTCAAGTGCATTTTTCTCTTCATTTCTCTTTATTGATGTAGCCCGACTTAATAGCTATTCCAAGAAATAAATGCTTGCTTAAACTCTTATTTCATTTTACAACTGAAGCGCTTCTTTTGCTAAGAGGTTTTAGAGTTTGTTTCGGTGAACGTGCCGTGACTGTGTTCTGAGCAACAAAACCCACAGCCTGGCCGCCTCCCATTCCCGAGTCCCCTGTGTCGTGGGCCATCAGCTGGCGGGTAACGCAGAGCTAACGGGACTGGAGGTTCTCAAAGCCGTCGGGTGCGCATTTTGTGCAGCGAACACTCGATTCTTTCCTTGGGTTGCTGGCTACGCGTCTGGTCCGGAGGCAGAGAGTTCCCGAGACCGGGCCTAAGGCATCTGTAGCGGCCCCGCTCAGCTCTGGGAGTCGGAGTGTGTGAATCCTGAGTGTGCTGTGAGTGGGCAGAGCTCTTGTGAGGACACAACAGAGAGACGAAGTTAAGTCCTGACTCCAGGACAAGACAACTCTCCCCGTAGTTCATGGGTTTCCTCCACCCCCTACCCCCCCAAGTGCAGAAGGTGGACACAAAGCCCCCCGCCGTGCTGCCGCATCCTGCGGGCCGGCCATGCGGGCTCACCTGCCTTCCTGGGAGCCTGCTTGCCCTCTGCCCGTCGCCCACAAAGGCCCTACCAAGAGGCGGTTCCGGGGTGCCGGGGAGAGAGGAAGGGCGACAGTTTGTGCGAGGAGTCAGCATGCAGTCTGAATGCGGACGCGGGACGGGAGGCACGTGTGGGTCGGCTCAGCCGGCCAAGCCCGGGCCCTGCTTCTCCTGGGGCACCTCTGCACATGGTCATTCTCTCTGAGACGGGAGGCAGGGCTGCCGACGTCACCGTGTTCCCGCTTTTCCAAACGCTCCCAGAGGACGTGAGGTGATGAGGTGCACGCGGGAAGTTCTCAGCCTCCTTCCGAGCGCGGGGGACTCGGTGACAGAGTCGTTGGCAGAGGGCAGTTCTCTTCGCTTCTCCGTGACCCAACCAGCGGGCCGGCCAGCGAGAACTTGAGTGAAGAGATGACCGCTGTGAACAGACGGTGCCGTGACCCGTCTCCACCCTGACTGCTGGCGAGGCCTCACCGTCTTTGGCGAGTGTCAGCTGCTCAGAAACGAACTTACCCCCACTGTCCGTGAACACCTGACCTGTGAACCCACACTGCCTGTTTGAACTTGTCACCCTGCTCTCAGACGCCCCGTGGCCGCGGCCACTCACACGGTGACCATCCCCTTCCCTGGGCGGGCGATCTATCTTCTGGGGCCTGGCGGGAGCCGTGGAGGAGTCCACCACCACCTCAAGCAAACGGGACCAAGGAGGGCGGGGGCTGATCACGTGGGCTGCTGCCTTCTTAGCTTCCTTCCTGAGCTGGGCCTGTGGCTGTGCGTTGGGAGGTGAGAGAACAGCACGCGTGCGTCTCAGCCCCTCGGAACTTACCTGCACGCCATGACCCTGCGGCTCGCCCACTGCTGGTCCTAAGGCTTCTAGAACCGTCTCCAAACAGTCTGACCTTATTCAAGGAAAAACCACCCTTTTTAAGAACTAAAAGCTGCTGAATAATTAATTAGCTGTCCTGTAACTTGCATGTTAAGAGATTCCTGTGGATTGTTTTATTTTCACTGAATGAGGTCTTCTAATGTGGTGATATGAAATTACCATGATGTAATCAGCTTGCTTTTCTTTGACAGAAAAAGTGGATAATTGTGGCCGTGTCAGTGGCTGTGGTTGCCGTAATTGCTCTAATTATTGGCTTATCGGTTGGCAAATGATGGTGTGGACGATGTCAGTGTGTGTGCCCCCCTGCCAGCGAGGCAGTAAGTAACTAATCAACTAATGTACTTATTAACTTTGCCAATTAGCTAACAGTGATGCTTGCCCAGTCCTCATTGACGTAAAAGTAATACCGGCCGCCAGTGGAGCGGAGCCCGGTCCTGCCGCTGCACGCACGGAGGGCGAACGGGCGGGTGGGGGGCATCTTTACACGGGGCCTTCTCCTCCTGCGGCCCGATGCAGCTTCCGGGGCGCTCGCACCGCCTGGCATGGCAGGCGCGCCCCCGGCCCGCTGGTCACCCTGCATGTAGCGGCCACAGTATGGTGGTGCCTTCTCCGTTGGCCGGCACGTCGCGGGTTAACGCACCTTTGACGTTTTCGCTTTTGCAACCGTTGCTTTGTGAGACCTCCCCACTTGTGGTGTGACTGGCTTGGAGGGAAGGGAACTGGAGTTTTCTGGAAAAGCCCGGGGGTGAAAATCCTCCCATCTCCCTGGGTTCCACGAGCCGGCGTCCCGTCCGTTTTCCGGTACCTCCTGAGTGTCGTGCGAGCCTGTGCTGTCAGCCTGCCGGTCAGATTACAACGTTCTGGGGAGAGAAGGTCTCCGTCGTTGACGAAAGCGACTTTATTTTGTTCACTGTGTGACTGTCCCCTTTCTCCAGACTCCGGTACATTTGTGTTTTCCTCTGGTTTTCTCCTCATACGGGAGCGCCCTCCTCGCGTGACCGAGGAACGCTGTCCCATGCGTGTCCCTTGAGAAGGGTGTCTTGCCGTGGTCATTCGACTGTCATTTTGCAGTGCCAGGTGCCAGGACGGTGACAGGCAGTCCTTGAGGAATTCGTTGTCTCCTTTCGAAAGCGACTGCGGCACCAGGCCGGCCCTTTATTTCTGCAAAGGGAGATAGCACGGGAGACAGGGACCCCACGTGCGGCCAGGTCCCGCCACTGCTTTTCGGCCTGGGACAGCCCGTTTGTGTGGCTTTCCTGGTGCTGGGAAAAATGATGTGTATGATTTTCTTTGTCAGGGTAATAGCACTTAAGAGCTATTTTTATATAATTTTAAAAATACGTGGTTTCTTAATTTTTCCTAGTGGTCATAACATGTTGGTTACACTAAAGATTAAAATTCGTTCTTAGGTTGGACCCAGCGATGTTGTTAGGTAATGCTGTTAAATGAACACAGGTTTTAAAGTTTATTTATTTATCTCGAGAGAGACAGAGCAAGAGCCCGGGAGGTGCAGAGAGAGAGGCGGGGAGAGAGAGAATCTCAAGCAGGCTTCATGCTGTCAGCACAGAGCCTGATGCAGGGCTCACGTCTGCAAAACTGTGGGATCATGACCTGAGCCGAAATCAATAGTTAGTCGTTCAGCCCAGTGAGTCCCCCCGGGCGCCCCTTTTCAGAGTGACCCCTCAGGGAGCAGTGGGCTTTTGGGCCCTGGGGCCGGATGGCTGGTTTTTACCCTAGTGTCTTTAAATACGAACGCAAAACAATCCTCGGTAAGACGCGCCAAAGCTTACACCAACAGTTATTTCTTTTATACACGAGTGGTTGCTGTCCGTGATTACACGTTAGAAAATGTAATTTATTCTTCAGCAGGTGGCGCAGGGGGGCCTCCCGGTGGGCCAGGCCCTGCGCCGGAGGCACTTGGTGGGTAACCGAATGCCCACCGCCCTGCGGTGTGGGCGGGGTGCTCCGTTCCCGCCTGAGGAGGCAGGCAGGGCCCGCACCCTGCTGCGTTTGTGTGTACGAGGTGGAGGTGGTGGCCCCGTGACCTGCACTCGGACAGGACTGCGCCCCAGGGCGCCCCGCCCGCTGAGGAGAGGGGCACGCGTGTGGGTGCAGCTGGCAGCAGGGCGCTGGACAGAATTGTTGTTAAAGCTGGAGATCTGGGTGCAGGAGCTCAGTCGGTGTGGGCTTCAGGGGAGCGGCACTGGGGGCCGGTGGGGAGGACGTGCACCCGCGAGGGGGGCCCAGACGCCCTCAGGGCCAGCACCCCGGGCCCCGGAAGTCAGAGCTCGCGTCCAGGGTGGCATTTCCCTGGGGGACCCGGGTGCGGTGAGCAGGCTCCGGAGCTGAGGGGTGGCCGCTGCTGGGAAGCCCGAGGAAGAGGCTGTCTCAGATCAAGGTGCCGAGCACGGTCCGTGGGAGCGCGTGGCGGGCGGCATGCGGCCGGGCCGCGGTCCTCACGCCGGGCGCGTGTGCGGGTCTGACGGAGAGGGGGTGTCCCGACAGCAGCTCCCCGGTCCCTGGGTAACCGAGCGGAAGTTTCCCGAGGGGCCTGCCACGCAGACCGTCAGAGCGCGCGGTGGCTGATGGAGGTGCTGGTGCGCCAGCTTGGAGCCGTGCGCTCAGGCAGGGTCGCCCAGACGGCCCGCCTGTCATCTCTGTGCCTTCCTTCCCTTCTCCCGCGGACGGTCCCCCGGAGGAGACTGGCTCTCAAGCCGAAGGTAGCGTAGCTTCTAGGTGTGCAGGACATGTGTTCGTGACAGAGGAACCACAGAAGTGCCGTGCCGCCCGCTTTGGGCCACAGGCGCAGCAGAGGGCTGAGTGAGCTTGCTGCCTTCGTGCGTCCGCGCATCGGGCCTCAGCGCAAAGACGCGTGTAAGCGACACCGTCTTCGGCAAACGGGAAGTAGATTCGTTTAAAGTTCTAAAAAGACGTGCGGCGCGTCCGAGGAATAGCGGCTCGTAATGTTCGTGTGATCGGTAGAAAGTGTCTGCTGAGGACCCCACGTGGTGCCAGGTAGACGCTGCCTTCCCCCCAGGGGCCCACAGTTGTCCAGCAACACCTGCTGTGATTTATTAAGTTCCATTAACTCGGTATGTGCACCCAGTGCTTTGCCTCTGGAACTTGGCTTCCCCGCCCCTCCCTGTCCTGTGACCTGGGGCCTGGGCATTTTAAACTCAAATTCCAGGAGAATTCTGTGAAGAAATGACATTAGCGATTTCTTTCCTTTGATACCTGGCAAATTATGCGAATTAATTAATGTTTTTTTTCTTTATCTTGCAGAAAATGATGTGCATTATCATTTGTGTAATTGTTTTGCTTGTGATCCTTGGAATTGTCCTAGCAACAACCTTGTCGTAGCGACCGTATCCCGAGAGCCACTGTCCTTGGAGTCAGACCACAGGCGCAGCGAGCGGTGAGCCCGCGCCCTCCCGTCCCGTGACTGAGCCCCAGACACCGTGACGTGTGGTGCTGGGCGCCAGTCTCGTTGCTGAGGGCCAGGGGGAGGCGCCACAGGATGCACCGTCTAGTGAAAGTCCGTGAGCGGGATGGGTGTGACGAGCTAACCCAGACGTCCTTGGACTCTGAAGAGCACATCACCGAAAACTAACAATGTGAAACTTGTTTCAGTGGCCTTAAAATAAGGATTGATTGAAAATTTTTTTTTTTTTTTTTTTTTTTTTTTTTTTTTTTTTTTTTTTTTTTTTTTTTTTTTTTTTTTTGTATTTCAGTGTTAAAAGTACATGTGAAGTTTAATTAGGAATATTTTATGTCATGAAGCTATGAGATTTCAGGTCTGAGCCTTCCTCCCTCCCCGCCCCCCAGCTAACACGCTAACTAAGAGTCGTTTTTGTACTCCGTTTCATTCGTGTTTTGTTCGTAACAAAAATTTGTATCGTCACAGAACTGTTTTGTAAGATATCGATAATTTTAAATGTTTATAAATTGTTTAATATATTAACATCTTAATTTACTCCGTTTTTATATATCGAATATTGCCTTTTGAAGTAAATAGGAAGCGTCATGATATGACTAGAGCCTTCTTTGCACAGTTGTTTACCAAGTTTGCCGTTGGCATAGCACACATCGGCGGCAAAGCCCCCGAAAAGCCTTTCAAGTGCCTTCTGTTAATGCTGATTCACAAGGTTAAAATGCACCTGACGGCCTCTGGGAAAGTCCATTATTGCACTGGGCCCACTCCTACCTGTTCCGCTGCCCGAGATAATAAATTAGTTACTGCCCGTGAGAGACCACCGCCTCTTCTTTGTTCGTTAGAAATAAGGTTTGTGTGTCCCTGTCTACGTCAATAAGGTCTGAACTTAAGACGGTGAGAAGACCGAGATTGAGTACTTTCTAAACTCAAGGAACTTACTCCCAGACATTAATTCCTCTAAATGTAAACTGCTGTACAGATTACTTATAAATGCTCTTGACAAGTGCTTACTGTTCTGCTGAGCTGCAAAAGTAGATTCCCAAAGTTCACAGGAATCCATGATAATTAAACATCTGTATCGCGCGGTGATGTTTCTCAGTATAATACGGTTTATTTTTTGACGTGTATCACGCGTGGGCTCTTACTAGGGAGCGGACCTCTGTGAGACGGCAGCTGGTCAGGACTGTGGGTGAACGTGTCAAGGATGTTCAAAATGTCGCCAAGCTCTCATTACTTGAGTATGCGATCGACCGTGTAAGCGCGTGCCTGCGTCCTGACATTGGCTTGGAAACCGATAGAGCCACGCTTGCTTCCACACGGTGAGCGTGAATGAGTCGAGCAGTCTGGCAACTGTGCTCTTTATGTGATACGATTAGGACTTCCACTTGCTCCTGATTTATGCACGCAATGGCTTAGCTTAGACTCAGATCGGAATGGACGCACTTCATTTGTGTGCTGATCACCGCTGAGTGCTCAGAGTCAGGAGAGGAGCGCTCTGGCTGCAACGCGTGTTTTTAAAAAGTCTTCACATGGCCCGTCAACGGGGTCCGCTCGCTATGTGTGCACAAGTCGGAGACGCACCTTGAGGGACATTTAAATACTTCGCGATCATGCCTGCATTAGCACAACTCTTGTGCGCTTGTTTGTGTCATCGCCTCCGCGTGCAGAGCCGCGCTCTGTGCTGGCGGCGGCCTGTGTGCGGCTGGGCGCGTTCTCCAGCTCTGGCTCGTTAACCTCGCCTCCGGCAACGGTTCCGACTGTCCTTGTTCAGGTCATTCTTCCGAGATTTACCAAACTCGTGCTTCTGTAGTTGGAGTCCAGGAAAAGCCTTTTGATTTCTGTTTAGGAGAACATCGAAGTCAGCCATCAGGTAGCGCTGCTGTACGCATGGACCCCAAGCACCCGTTTGAGATCAGATTACAAAAGCTATACTTACGGGTTCCCTTGTTACTTTTATCATTCCTTCAAATATTTTATGTTTACATAAAGAAAAAACTGCCAGGGAACCAAAACCAAACTGACTTTCTGTCTCGTCATTTCTGGAAAGATTTTGGGGGGAGATATTTTATTGCATATCCATTAATAAATTGTTCTACTAAGAAAATCACTCTTACCTGTGGCCGTTATTGTGTATAATAATGTGACTTAACGATGTTGGGCGTCTTCGTTGCGATTACAAGGCTCGGTGCCTGGTGTCTTATGCAGGAGCCCATCCGGGTCCTTGCTGTTGATGGCAAACGCTGATTCGGGGAACTTGGGTTACATTTCAGAGTCAGTGGCTTCGGTGGTTATGTCCACCAGATAGAATCTCCTTGAGTAACGGGGGAGTGGGGGTCCTCCCGCCCCCGTGCTCTGAGCTGTTTATCCTTTGTATCTCTTCATCCCCTTTCAGAATTTTTCTTCAGTGGGATTTCCTTAATCCGTAACTCTTAAATTCTAACCATGTTGGAAAGTGATGTCAAAAACCACAGTTCCAAAAAGGGAAGAAAACTCAGTCCTGGAGAGAGAGCAGGTCACAGAACTAGGTTCCCCTACGTTACCTCCCTCTTCTGAGGCCCCTTCCACGGTGAGTGTCCTTCCAAACTGCAATCTCGATGTACACATTCAGTAATGTAGCCCCTCCGTTTATACTTTTTATATATAGTTTAGGTGACAAAGCAAAATGAATTGTGTTAGTTTGAGCCCTCGGGAGCTCCCCAGACAGGCAGGGGGAGCAGGGAGAGGCGGCGAAGCAGGCAGAGCGCCCCAGAGGTGCAGGTGGTGGGTTCGACACGCGGGGGCGCTCCTATCCAGGCTTGTCTTGGACAGACGGAGCAGATTTTGGCCCGGCAGCCAGCATCCTGGGGTTCACGGAGACGCCTCAGCCCAGGGTGGGGGGTGGGGCATTGCAGTGTCCACAAGGTCTCAGTGCCACATGCCCCTCTCAGGGCCTCGGCCTGGAGATGAGCTCCCAACCAAGGGAACGGAGAGCAGAGGGGGCCTGAGGTCAGCTGGGGTCACGTCCTCTCCCCTGACCTCTCCCAACAGATTCTATTAACTCCGGCACATCTACAGTCACACCCTCTCACGACCTTAAAACAGGATACACCTGGGGTGCAATTCACACCAGCAGGGTGGCACAGCCGGTGATCGTGGCGGTCGGGTGCCAGCCATGCTGCAGGCTGGTGCATAGGGGACCGAAGGCCGGTGCAGGGGGGCCGGGGCGCCCCAGGCCG